GCAGAAAGCTCTCTTGACGCTCAGAATTTTATAAAAACTTCAACGTAAATCTAACTGTGATAACAACTTTTCTTTCTATGTAAAACTTGTTATTAGACTCTAATAAAAACTCTTCTCTATAGAATGAAAACATATCTATTAAAAACATGTTTTAAGTACACAGAAAAAAATATGCACATTTTTTTTCTTAACAATCGTTTGCTTAAATTTAATTTCGATTTTTATAAATATTTTTATTTGGGTTTATAACGAATTTGTTTGATGTTCACACAGAAGGAAAATATTTTCTAACAAACACTTTATTGAAATAAATTTAATTTTCAGTAAATATTTTTACTGATTCAATAAATGATTTTGTTTGAGTTTTATTTTTATGTCAGCATATGGAATACAAAAATAAAACCAGTTTTGGAATGTACTAAAATGAATTGATATAATTCTTATTTGGTTTATAACATTTAATGTATAAGTGTTTCAGTTTTCACAGTACAAAATAATAGTTTCTAGAATTATAAACGTTTTCTTAAAAATGTTGTAAGTATATATGTAATTTTTTACAAATTTTAGTTTTAAATTTTTTAGTAAAATTTTTGTTTAAATTTAGTATATATTTTTTAACAAAATTTTTATAGATTCAATAAAAAATTTTGCTTATTATTATTGCCAAAATACAATAAATAATTTAACTGTTTCAGATAACATATTTACTTGAGCTTCAGTACAAATACTAATAACTTTTGTTATTGTTTCAGTAAAATAATTGTTTGGAAATGTTGTGAATATTTATTAATGTTTTTCGTAAATAGTATATTATTTTAATAAGAAAAATCCTGAAATTTTTTCAATAAAGAATTTACGAATTTGAGTACTTGATTTTACGAATTTCGTGATAGGTCCTATTTTAGTAAAAAAAATACTTGGCTTTATGAATTTTTTGTTTGATTTTGAATTCCATTTTTTTCTGTGTACGATGAACACTTGATCACGCAGAATCTTATCAAGCCATATTTTATAAAAAAAAGCTTGTTTAGGGACTCATAAACACTTTTTATTGAAGAAAATGACTAATCAAAACTGTATAAAAAAGATTTTCTATAAAAAGCGTCCAGATTTAGTTTTGAAATTTATCATTTTATCATATCTGAATTCTATTATTAAAAATTTCGCTTGAATAAAATCTCTTAAATTTAAATTTATTTTTACGCATTACTTTTGCTCCTCATTAAAAAAATATATAGTTTAATTTAGTTTTAAAATCTCTGCTCTAATTTTGTCTTAATGACAAATTAGACCTTTATCTGGTTTTGTCTATCTTTACCTCTTACTCTTTCTTCAACTGTCTTAAATAATATTATGAAAACAAAAAACTGAAAGAAGAATTGACAATTTCGAAACAAATTAAAATGTGTATTAAAATCTGGTTTTCATCACCTACAATTCTTTACTTAGTAAAGCACTAGCAGCAGCGAAAGTGTGCTTACTTTCGTTCTTTTTGTCATTGTCTTTGCGCGCAATGTACTTAAAGATTAATGGTTGTCATTAAGATTTATCCTTCTGTGGAAACTACTAAATTTAATGAGTTACCGGAAAGACGACACAAGAACAAGAAAAACAAACAGCTAAAACTTTGTTTAATCTTAAGTTTTTCTCCTTCAATTTTTAGTCTTTTGTTTTTTCTTTAAAGATAACAACTAGAGATATTTGCCAACCCAATAGCAATATCTTTAAATTTGACTACCAACTCCCTCCTACATGTTCAATCTTTAGTTTCTTTATATGATAAAATAAAATTTACTTTAATGTCTAAACTCATGCTTCATGCTGCTGTTGAAATAGACAAATATATGGAGATGGAGTTGTAGTTGATGTTTTAAGGTTTAATATGCTTTTGGATTAAGGAAACTTTACGCGTACCAAAATGTAGGAGAAAAAAAAAGAAAATAAAACCCTGAAATGTAAATGAAAGTGTGGAACAATAACAAAAATATCTAAAGAAGGGAATGAATGAATTTAAAAGCAAGTGGTTTCGATGGTGTATTTTGGAGGTGGCACTGGTTGAAGTGGTTGTAGTTTTGTTGTAATGCTGATTTTGATGAACCAGTATTTTTTTTTTTTTTTTTTTGATATTTTCGTCGTTTAAAGGAAAAATCATGTTGAACGTTGTCAGCTCGGCATGTTGCTGATATTTTTACAACATTACTGTTGCTGGTGGTGTGTCTGTTGCTGTTGCTTGTACTGGCCATAGTTCTGTTACTCTTGTTGCTGGTGGTGCCAGTAACACAGTGTTTTATGCCATTATTTTCTTTATTTTGCATCTCTCGCAACGTTATTGTCTGGCAGCGAAGAATAGTACTGAGACCGCTTGATGGCCATTAGAGTGAAATGTCAAACCATCATATATATATGATGATGACAACAACAGTCAGAGTTTTTTTGTAAACAACATTTCATTGTGGTGTCTGGTTGGTGAGGGTATTAAACAGAAACATAACACAATACCGCCATAATAATATTTTGTATGTATAGAGGGAGTCTCCTCCCATCAGTGAAATTCTCGAAAAACTTGAACCATCCTACAAAGGTTTTGGAGGCATTAAAGGAAGTATGTTTTTCCTGCTTATTTTTTGTATATTTTTTTTAAGATTGTCAACAGGACATAATCGTTAGTATGCTGGAAAAATGATTCAATGCATAACATCGAGTTAATAAGGACGCAACAAGAAAACAACAAGAAAAACCTTCATAGTTGTAAAGCAGCGTTAATCATCAAAAATTATTCGCAATATGATTTAACATAGGAAGAAAATCAATCAATGGGGGCTAGGTGAAATAATGGACCGATGTTAACCATTTTCAATAGGCTTCGTCCCTGGGAAAATAGAAGATCATGTACCAAATTTCATTGAAGTATCTTCAAAATTGCGACCTGTAGTTTGATTACAAGGTTTACATGGACGGACGGACGGACATAGCTAAATCGACTCAGAAAATGATTCTAAGTCGATTGGTATACTTTATGGTGGGTATAGGACCAATATTGTTGTGCATTACAAACATCAGCACAAACCCAATATACCCTCCCCACTAAAGTGGTGTAGGGTATAACAAGTAAGAAATTATAGTCGGGCGAGGCCGACCATATAATACCCTACACCTGTTTAGTTTTCATAATAAAGCATTTAAATTGAATTGTACCTTACCTTGAATTATACTTAAGCCATTTATTGTTGAATAAAATTGTGGACATTTAAGTCAAACTTTGAAGGGGCTTTTTATAGGGGCTAGAGTCAAATGAGACCCTATAATTATAAAATTTATGAGAGTCATTAAGGCTAGTATAGAACTTGGTTTTGCAGATTTTTGTCCAGATAAGAGTATATTAAACATAATTATCAACTTAAAAGCCCTATTCGTCGGGTTCAGTTGTATGGGGGCTAGGTGAAATAATGGACCGATGTTAACAATTTTCAATAGGTTTCGTCTCCGGTACCATAGAAGATCATGTGCCATCATTGAATTATCATCAAAATTGCGACATGTAGTTTGATTACAAAGTTTACATGGACGTACAGACGGACGGACATAGCTAAATCGACTCAGAAAATGATTCTAAGCTGATTGCTATACTTTAAAGTGGGTATAGGACCAATATTATTGAGCGTTACAAACATCAGCACAAACCCAATAACTTTAGTTTTTGTATGTTAAACAAAAAGTTCTAAATAATGAAACTCAAACTCAACATTTGTTTAATGCATTAACACTTAAACAAATACGCCTATCCCTAGTTTTGCACAATATTTTCGTTCCAGAATAAATGGAATTCAAAAGAATTTTTAATGAAAAACTATAAATCATATTTTTTAAGGAAAATAAAATGTTCGATAAAAAAATATGAAATTCTTTCATTCGTCTCAAATTAAAAAAATCTCTATTTCATTTCGAAATTGTGTAAAACAAGGGATTCGTGTACATTCATATGTATGTATGTGAAGCAGTGATTGGCAACACATAAACGGCCACATATATATGTAAAGCTACGTGGGCCCCCAAATATTTGAGTCCTCGGTGTTAATTTCCAAAAAATGTGATAATTTTCTCAGGCTCATATATTGCAAACCGTTCGAAATTTTGATTTAATCTCTGAGTTATGGCTCTTGTCATAAAGAACAAAAATTGTGAACATATAAAATCCAAAAAAAAAATCTTTAAAATCGCAAAACAAAAAAGTCGATTTTTTACGCGTTAAAAAATGTTTCATGGACTACTGGACGTATACTTAATATTTGTAATATCTATAAATCATTAATACGTATACGTACAGGTGTCGTTAATAAAAGCAGTACAATTTAACAATGTAAAACTTTCCTCTTGAAATGAAAAATATGAAAATGAAGTTTTCTTGATTTTAAATATTCCCAATTTTTGTTCTTTATGACAAGAGCTAAAACTTTGCCTCACAGAGTAAATCAAAATTCCGAACGGTTTGCAAGATATGTGCCTGAGATATAAATAATTTTTTTGCAAAAATGACACGAGGCCCCAAAACATTGGGAACCCATAAAAAAGTGCTTGACTTTGAGCAAAACAAAGAATAAAAATTAGAATTGAAGCCGAGAGACTTTGAAAGTCGATGGATGATCTGCAACGAATTGTTACATTCAAATCAAATTTAATTCAAAGAGAAGAAATCATACGCCAAGCATTGTCAATCAGCTAAACCAAAAGCCAAATAACCATAACGCTATTCTAATGCTTTGTATTTGGTGGGGAACACGGGACCTGCAACACCCTTTTTGCCATATTTGAGACATTTTGACAGTCTGTTATGTCATCTCATAGTTCAATTTGTCAACTTTAAAATAAAGGATTAATCACCATTATATCTTTGCCATTTTTCGAGATATCTTCAAATAGATTTGGACTCTGCGCAGCTCAATATTTTTGAAAAGTATAGACTGATCTCTGGTTAAAAAAATTGTCGGCTTTTGTATTCATACATTCTGACATACCAACATATTTTCGTCGTTTTTGTCCATCTTTTACTGTCATATTGCTGCTGTTGTTGTTGATGATTGTTAACGTTGTTGGCCAATGTTTGCAAATATATTGTCATTCTGTTTTGATGTAATTATTGTTGTAGATGTGGTTGGGGATTTAGTGTTTTTATTTCGGGTGTATGTATGTGTTTATGTTGGAATGTCATTTGGTTGTTAAAACCGAAATGGTCGTCAACATCATTGTTGTTTTTTAAGAGTTTATTATTGTTTGTTCCTTTGCTTGTTTGTTTGTCTGTCTGTCGAAATGTTAAATAATAATAGTAAAAAAATGCGTTAAAAATGAAACCATCGGTTGTAGCAGTAGCAACAGCAGCTAAAGAAATGGCCGTATACATGAATGAAGAGAACGTTAAGTGCTGTTTATTTAGAAAATGAAAAGCAAATGCGTCACTTTTTTTTGCACTTTTGACTTGGGTAAAGCTGTTTCGTTTTATATATATATATATTTTTATTCAACCATATATTTAACATTCATTTTAATAGCGGGGTGTAAAAAACACCATTTCCAACAGCTATTACTGGAATAAACAGCAATTTTTCCAAAACTTCTTGTAGAGTACAGTGTGGCGTATGATTAATACTAATTATAACGTATTTTAGAAATTCTTTAATAATATGACTTTTTATATACCGAATTTTATGGAACAAACTGTAAATAGTAGCTGGGATTTAAAGATTCCAAACCACCTATAAATAAGCTTTATGGTACTTTTGTCTAAACTCTAAATATGTCAAATTACAATATTATTAAAAAAGTAAAAGAAATTTTATAAATAAGTTTTAGTAAATTTAAAAATATCTCTGAAGTATTTTGCTATTTTAACATAAATATAAATATATAAAAATGCAATTTTGACCCGATTTTCTAATTTCTCTATGGAAATGATGTAATTTTATATTAACATGAATTTTTGTCGCTGACACATAGAGTTTTATGTCAAGTTTTGGTTTTTTGTTTTCCATTTTTCCGGAAATTTCTTTTATAGAGAAGAATTTAGTTTCTTAACATTGTCAGTTTTTACATACATATTGTCGCCCTGATTGTCATAAACTTTTGACCACAATTTATAAACGTCAAACGGCAAAAAACAGACATAAAAAATAATGAAAACAAAAAAAAAAAAAAAAAAAAAACGCGACAACGCTATTTTAATTTTATTAATAAAATATGATTTTAAAAATATAAGAAATGAAGAGATTAATAATAGGCTTTAAAATAGAAAGCCTGCAGAAAACGGAAAATTAAGAGAAATTTATTGGCATTTTCTCAGTTAAGAATATTCTTTCATTTCACTTTCTATCCTATAACTTTAGAGTCTTATTTATAATTTATAATTAACCATTTCCGTTATATTTTAAACACCTTTCCATTAAAATACAAAATGTTGTTTTAAATAATTTAAAATTTTAAATTGACTCTAATTATGAATAATAAAAAAAAAAACACATTTCCAATTCCCAACTTTAAGGATCAACTCATTTATATTCAAGTTTTTTTTGGTTTGTTTGTTATTTCCTTATTTTTCTGATTTCCAATTGCATGATTATTAATTGAATTTATTCTAATTAAATGAAAACTTTTTCTCCTATTTCATTTTGATTCTCTTCATTTTCAAGTTTTTTCTATTTCTCTTCTGTTTTCACATTTTAGTTTTTCTTTTCGGTAAATTTTTCTAATAACTTTCGTATTAGGAAACCAGCATTCTGATGAGTTAGGGGAAAAAAGTGGATTTGCAATTTGTTTGATTATTTGTTATGGCAAGAAAAATATTAGGTTTTTATGCGTCGTTTATTTTTCTTCATCTCTTTGATGGCTACTGTGGCTGTTAGACAGTATTGATGGAGGCAGGGGGTCCTGATGATGAGTTTGTGGTCGTATATATTTATTGGTTGATGTTGGGGTGTCCTTTAATTTGTTTAATATTGAATGATATTTACCCCAGTTTAATATTTGATTATTACATTTTATGCTTGAGAGATGTTGAATTTTACAAGGGTCATTGTATTTTAAATGTGGCTTAAAGTGTAATGGTTATTGTTTGTTTAGAATTTTTAATGAGATCAAAAGAGATAAAGTGTAGATGCTGTATAAATATTTAATTTTACCGAGGTATATAGTAGACAAGAAGAACATTATTATTTTGGTTTATTTTTATTTTAATATTTTTGGGAAAAAGTGGTAAATTTCAGGAGATGAGTAGAATAATGAAAATTAACTAAGCATAAACTGCAGAAAGTGTACAATATTTTACTTTAAATATTTTTTTTTTTTTTTATACATAATTTTAACAGTATTGGCTTACTTTTTAACCAATATCTAGGTGTCCTTATGTTAATTGAAGATATCAGATATTTTATTACAAACTATTTCAAAATAATTATATGAATGTTTAGAAACAACTAAACAAACTTATAACAACTTTATTTTTAACTATGTCAGTATGACTGAGTGAATGACTGACTTAAGCAATAACTAAATACACACGTATACAAACAGAATGGTTAACTGACATTGACATCCAGAAAATATGATATGAGTACTCACTCGAATAAATTGTCTGCATCTTTAAGTAGTCATCTACTTACTACTACTACTTCAACTATATCAACATCTACCACATTTTTTTTCTTTTGACAGTTATTAACAGCATATCTCCTGCCATTCGAAACAGTTACAAAACTCATTTCTCAAAAAATATACATACATAGAGATCAGACATGTGCTTTTCCACTATATGTTTATAAAATTATAATATAATTTGCTACTTATGATTATTGTTATGGTTTCTAAAAGTTTGTATGTACATACATACTTATATACGTATGTATATAGAAGTTGTGGGCGAATTGTCGTCATCATGTTTCTTATTTTATAAAGAAAAAATTTAAATATTAAAATTAAGAACCAAAAAAGTATTTGCAATAAAGAGTGATAAGAACACAAATACATCTACGTTTGTCACATACATACGTATGTATTTATTAATAAATATACAGTGGTAAATGAACATTTGATAAACTTAGAAATAAACTGATATAGTTCTAAAAAAGATATATACAAAATGACCCATTTTCTAATGCTATTATCTTCAGCTATCTACTAATATTGGTTATCGTAACCACCGTCTGCAAATTTTTTCTATACAAACTAATTTATATCGTAATGTATTTGAAAATTTGTAATAAGAAAACTATCACGTTCAGCCAGTTTCATATACATATTTATGAATTTATTCTTGTGAATATGCATACATTCACGTCTGCCAAGTACAAAGTAGTTTCATTTTACTTTGTATCTCTTGAATAATTCAATAATTTCATCTTTTTACTCGTATAGTACATTTCTTCTATATAATAAAATTGCTGGTCCTTACATACCATGTCTATATACACATGTGTACCTACATATGTATGTATGTAAAAGTAAATACATATAAACTAAAATTTACATTTGTGTTACTTTAGATCTACAAGAGTATATGTTTAGCAGGCAGGATGTATTAATATACCACTTGTATTTCATAAACAATTCATAAAGTTTTACTTTAATACTGTTTATACATACATACACACTTATGCATATTTATTTGTTTATTCGTATTTTATAAAAGGAAATAAACCCAATCCAGTATTAAGTTTATAGTTTTGAAAATTCAACCTAATTTATGTATGCACAAAGTAGACATTTTTGTTAGTTTAAAGTTTTTTGAGAGTGAAATGTAAAGCAATTTTAATGAATTTGTAGTAATGTACTCTTAAAGTCAAAATGTAACGGAAACAGAGCCCTAGCCATCTAACTAACTAACTAACGAACTAACTAATAACGAACTAACTACTAATAACTAACTACTAACTAACATACTACTAACTAACTAACTAACTAGCACTAACTAACTAACTAATAACTAACTAACTAACTAACTAATAACTAACTAACTAACTAACAACTAACTAACTACTAACTAACTAACTAACTAACTAACTACTAACTAACTAACTAACTAACTAACTAACTAACTAACTAACTAACTAACTAACTAACTAACTAACTACTAACTAACTAACTAACTAACTAACTAACTAACTAACTAACTAACTAACTAACTAACTACTAACTAACTAACTAACTAACTAACTAACTAACTAACTAACTAACTAACTAACTAACTAACTAACTAACTAACTAACTAACTAACTAACTAACTAACTAACTAACTAACTAACTAACTAACTAACTAACTAACTAACTAACTAACTAACTAACTACTAACTAACTAACTAACTAACTAACTAACTAACTAACTAACTAACTAACTAACTAACTAACTAACTAACTAACTAACTAACTAACTAACTAACTAACTAACTAACTAACTAACTAACTAACTAACTAACTAACTAACTAACTAACTAACTAACTAACTAACTAACTAACTAACTAACTAACTAACTAACTAACTAACTAACTAACTACTAACTAACTAACTAACTAAACTAACTAACTAACTAACTAACTAACTAACTAACTAACTAACTAACTAACTAACTAACTAACTAACTAACTAACTAACTACTAACTAACTACTAACTAACTAACTAACTAACTAACTAGCTAACTAACTAACTAACTAACTAACTAACTAACTAACTAACTAACTAACTAACTAACTAACTAACTAACTGGTTTCGTACCTTTAAGCACTTAAAAGTCTTGAACTTAGTTGAACCTAAACAGATTTTAAGTTTCTCAACGGATTTAGAAAGCAAAAGCCTTTATAATGACGTAATTTGGGTACATTTCAAACATATTGATTTTAGTTTCGCCATTTTCCAAGTTTGGATATGTTTTTACAAAATATTCTATATGAGAACCGTATTATTTATAAATATGTTAGAAAACTATGTCTGATCATGACGACGTTATATAAATTTTTCTTAATACAAAATTCTTTAAAAGCTTGTTTATAAGGGGGATAGGTTTAAATATGGGCCGATCCTCATAAAAATTTAAGGGAAGAATTCAGCTTTATATAGAAGTTATTTATGCTGAATTTCA